TTTTTTTTTTTTCTCCTTTTTCGCGGAGAAACTGTTACTTTCTCCACTTTCGGTCTCTTTTAATCTTCCTTTTAACTTTGTTTCATCTCGTTGCTCGAATTCAACAATCCTCTCCTCGTCATCTTTTTCGAGATCGTCCATCAATCATTCTTTTTTTTTTTAATATATATGTATATATATTACTTCTATCTCTCTTCTTTTTCATCCTCTTTCAGCTTTGTATCATCCCGTTGTCTTCTCGTTTTTTGAAATTATTCCTCGCCAGTTAGCTGTCGTTTGTCTTGCTTTCGCAGATTATCAAAGTTTTCATCAGATGTTTTTCATTCATTTGATTGGAGGATCGGTAAATACTCGGTTTCTTCTGAGAATTGTAATGTTTTTATTTTAATTTGTCAAAATCCTGGAGAATGCATCGCGTTTCAAGAATTATACCAGAAATCTCTTCCGACAATTTCAAGACCTTCCGAGATTATATTAATATAATTGAATCATCGAAGCTTCGGGCTTCACGTTCTTCATGGACAATTGGAGAATTTCAATGAAACATTGAAGATATCCCGTAGGAGTCGATATCTCCCCGTGGAGATCTTCATTTCGATTTCGTTGCTTGCGATGCTTCCTTGCGGCAGCTATCTTCGCAAGAAGGTCAAGGACACTGCGGTGAACTTGGATCGAAGTCCTTAAAGGGGAGAGAAAGTTCTTCCCCATGGAAGGAAAAACGAAAGACGAACCTGAGATCTTAAAGTAAGAGAACGAAAGCCATCTTTCTCGCGAAAGTTTGTCGATTGATCTCTTGCGAAAATTAAAAGTCTCGCTTTTCTTTTTTTTTTTTATCCAAGACGTAAAATTTGTTCCTTCTTTCGCGAAAAATTAATCTCGCTCTTCGTAATTAATTTCTCTCTCTCGAATATTTCCCAAGTCAAGCCAGAAGATTGTTTACAAGTCCACGTTCAATTTTACAGTTTCCTTCTTCCGCGTTTTTTTCACTCTTCATCTCCACGTATATGCGCTAGAGAAACTATATCAAGTGGAAAGGAAAATGCTTAACGCGAACAAGGAACGCCACAAGCTTCCATCGGAATAAAAATTATTCATCTGAACATGTGATAGTACGTGATGGTGAGCAAAGATTACGAATCATTTCGTATATTTGTATATTTTCCATGGAAAAATCAAATGAAATCAAAATAACGTTTTATATATTTATATATTTATATTATTTATATTATTTATTAACTTTTCATATATATATTTATATATATTTATATTATATTATTTCATATATATATTTATATATTTATATATATTTTTTATTTATAAATTATATTAATTATAATTATATATATATTTATATTATTTCATATATATATTTATATATTTATATATATTTATATATTATATATTTATTACTTAAATATTTAAATATTTATACATTATATATATATATATTATATATATTATATGTTTCATATATATAAATATAAATAAATATATATTTCCTTTCGTTAATTGCTGAAGAATTTTTTAAATCACACGCCGGATTAAACTGTCTGAAGGAACGTTTTATAAATTTCAGTTGACGAGCATTTCGTTCGAGCCTATAAAAAATATAACGAGTTTCGCGTAATTACCAAATGAGAACGATGGGCTGTTTCGCGCTGTTTTCTCCGGGCATTGCGTCTCTGTTGCGAAACAAAGCTCGCGAACAATATAACACAGTTGGAAACGAGCTGAGAAATGAACAGATCGTTAAACACGAAAACAACTGGAAGTTAAAACGTTGCAATTAGTCTCGCGGGCTCTCTGACGAGCTCTATCATTTCCAACTCAGTTCGCATCTCTGAGTCATCTAATTCGTTGATCTTCGGCCCTCCTCTCCCATCGGCACAATTATACATATTTTCCGACTTTTAAACCATCCTTAATGGAGGTGCAGGGGAGGGAAAGAAACAAATAAACGAGTAATTAGAGAACTTGTATACCGTTCTCTTCTTCAACACACTCTCATACACGCCACGTGTATAATTATTACGTGTATAATTATTGTAGTACGCGGCAATGGTCGAGCTTTGAATCTGATCAAGCCTTTCTCGTCATTTCTTAATATTCGTTTCGCACGACGAATAATTGGTTTGACGACAGTCGAGCTCGAATGATAAAAGGTATCCGAGAGTCGAGCATATGGGGAAAAATTAAATTTCAGGATGGATCCCTTTCCGGATAGTTGTGTAATAAATTAATAGTTGAAACAATATATTCACCTGTAAAGAGAAATTAGGTTATCTTTGAATATATGCGGGATATATTTCTATATTCAGCTCTTTTGCATTAGTCGAATCGAACAACTTAACTGTCTTAACTTAATTTCAAGTTGATACAACGTCGTTTAAGAAAATTGTTATTAACGTTTGAATTTTCACGATCGTTTTGAGAAGTCATGAACTCGCGAATAGGTAAAGTAGAAGTTTTAAGCTTCCAAATGGGACACCATGAGTTGATCGTCACATGATCCTTTTCTTTTTTTTTTTTAGGAATTTCAGATTTCCTTCTTTTACTCAACTTTCTCCTTAAAATGTAAAATATTTATTCACAGTCCGACTACTCTAGCTTACTAAATTATCGGCAATTTTCCACTCTACTTAAGCATATAAACAAAAGAATTAATCACTATACTCTGGAAGATGGAACGTCGAAATATTAAATAAACGTCAGACAGATCATTCCCGATAGTCTCGAATCTTCGAAATAATTCAATCACAAGGAAATTAGTGTCTCAGGCGAAAACCATAAGTTTCACCTACTAACTCAG